AAACTCCAACACGAGGTGGCTCTTTTGAGAAGTAAGCTGGTCACACAAATCAAAGCCAACACTCGTCTCAAGGCCGCTTTCAATGCCCTCTCCGAGAGCAATCCTCCCCCTCAAAAGGTCGTCACCGACAATCCTCCCGTCAACATATCAATTTCCCTCAACCCTTCCATTCTTGGTAAGAGCTGATTCATTTCTCCCCATTAAATTCTTTTCGTTTTTAATAGAGGAGGCAGGGAACACATCTCAAGTTAATGAATCCTTCGCTAGTCTTCTTAATTCCAACAAGAAGGTGTCCCAGACTCTGGACAGAACAGTGAATGAACTCAAATCTGCCCTTAGTAGGGTGGAAGCTGAGCTCTCTGCCAGTATACTTGAGGTAAGCATCTGTTTTTTGTCTTTTCTTCTTATATCGTTAGGTCTCCCAGGTTGAAGAAGAGCCTAAACCCGAAGAGGGTGGAGTGCTGGCTCATGACGCCACCTCAGCTTCGGAGGGGAAACCGGACCGTCTTCGTGACGTCTACTCTTTGATTAAGGGACTTATTAATCAATTCGACAATCTGTGCACCTTCCGCAATTCCTTCCATGAGACGGTGAATCGCAGTATGCTCGCAAACTCTCTCTGTTTAGAGACGAGTACCAGATGTGCCATCACTGGAACTGGTCAACAGACGTCTTTTGTGGAGCCCGCAATTGGAGAGAAAGGCGATCCATCAGTATCTGAGGCTCATGGTATGTTAAATGAGTCTATTTGAGCTTCACAGGGAGCTTATAACAGTGATTTACCTCGCTATAATTTCGGCCAATGCATTTCTGTGATGGTTTTCTTGTCTCTTGCAGCCAGAAAACATGAACTCGTCGAACCGGCTGAGAATTCAGTCGCAGAGAAGGGTGATGATGAGGTAATGTCAGTGAGCCAGATGAGTCACAATAACACAACCTTCCACCTTCTTCGTGAGCACCTTAACGACAACACCATGGAAGATCTCTCAATGAATAACTCCTTGTCCTTGGCGATAAGCCAACGAAGCCATGCTCTTGATATCACTGGCCTTGAGATACACTCTCGGGACATCTTTGATCGCGTTGCCCTTGCGGTAAGCGTTCTACTTTATTACTTTCATTAGTATCGCGATTATATTTATAAGTCTCCTGGCTACAGTTATCACATTTAAGGAAATTTATTTTCATGACTATTGCCTACGGTTATGGAGCATAAAGGAAAGTGGTTGGAAATTCCCCTTTTCACTGTGTAGAAAGGTGGTCTGACTAGATCTTTATTATTATTGTTATCGATGTCTTTTAAATTAAGTAAGTTAATGAATAGGGGCATATAGTCTAGAAGCCACAATGAGGATCTGGAAACGTAAAGAGCGAGTTGGGTGAAAAGAAGAGACCACCTTGCTTCAATTGCCACAATCCTCTGCTCTAAGTGACTGATATGTCTGGATCTAGTCACTGAACGCACTAACCTTCCGCGTTAGACTTCGAGATTGAGCTATCCCCCCCCTCTCCATGTTGTTTTATCGATGTTCTTGTGAATTTATAATTTGTTTGGTTCTAGGTTGCGGGAATTCAAGAAGCCTTGGATGCATGGTCGCTTGATGCAGCCACGGAATTATTAGCTGCCATTAATCTGAACACCGCTTCTCAGAGACCTCCTATTTCTTCTCGCAATGAAGGCGCTTGTGCTAATTTCTTTTCTATGCAGACCCTGCTGGACCTTGTGTTGCGTTTCGCGGAACTTCTCTCTAGGACCAGGTACCAGGAACTCCTTGATTCCCCTGCATTCTCTGGTTGGTGCGATCTGGTTCACAGGTGGTTTGAGCTCTTTATTGACACCCTGCAAAGACGCCAGGGCACAGCAAATCTCACTGAAATGTATGTGTGTTTCAATAAATTTCTGCCGCTCTTCTCTCCAACGCGTGTGTATTTTAAGCCAACTATTAATTGTCTTGTAGTAATCATCAGCTAAACGCTCTTGAACAACAATTCAACGAAGAATTCGTAACGACGGCAGCTGTTACCCAACATCATCAAGTAACTTTTTTATTCGTTGCAGTGTGTGTTTCTTATTTAATATTGGTGGAGTAGAATTAAAAATTCTTCTCACTTTGGTCAGACTGCAGCACAGCAGACGTCGGACTCCACGGAACCGCCAAGTATCTCTTTGTGTGAAAACGGGAATGACGCTTCGTCGCGTTGCGAGCAGCCCACTTTAACAATGGAGAAATTCAAAACTGATCTCTCCGCAAATGTTCCGGATCTCTCTACTAAGACGGTCAGTCTTCTCTACTACTCTCATTTAAGTAATATGTTAAACTAAGAGTCTAATTTTCGCTTCCCCTCTTGGTCACACTCCAGATCACTGTTGCCAATTTCGAGACGAAAGTACAGGACTTGATGATGCAACTGAACGAAGCCGTCTCTGCTTCTAAAGCACATGAGTCCAGAGTCAAGGAGTTGGAGGTAATATTTTTTTCCGGTGACATGTTTAATTTTATTTACTTTAAATTATGGGCCAGCTGGGCTAATCACGCAAAGTTTTGCTACCTCCGTAAAAAAAAGAGTTTTAAGGCGATAAAATGTGTTCTTGTGTTAGGCGTACTTGGTGGGAATCAAAGGAGATGTGTGTGGTTGGGCTAACTACCCGATTTCCTCTTTAAAGCTCTTTACATTTTAATGGAAATTATTGAAAAACCAAACTTCTAGTATGTCTGGCAGTGCCACCGCGTCTCGGCCTTGTGGAATTGCCGACGTTTGAAGCTGCATGCATCTATCACTTTCACTTTTTCTTTGCCAATAGGCTGAATTACCTCAGCTGGAGACTAAGGTTCGGCATTTGGAGTCAAATTCTCAGGCGAAGGAAGAGAGGGCGGCAGAACTGGAGGTAAGAAACACAAATTTCCTTTTACTACCATCTTCAAATCCCCCCCTCCTATTCTCCTATAATAAATGGCGGTTTAATTTTAATAAGAGTTAATAAGTCGGAGTTTTCTAAAAAATGAAGTTGAGAAATAATCAGTTAGCTTTTGAAAATTCTAAAATCTTCATTTAACTGTCTAATGTCCATATTGATGATATTGTGTTCTTAAATAGGCGGAATTATCGCAACTCCATGTGAAATTGCGAAATGTGGAGACACAACTGGCCGAGTCTTATGCCATGGTGGAAGTGCGAGAGGCCAATGCCAAGGAGTTAGAGGTGAGGTTCTGCCAAACTCGCTCATTTTTTTTTGCTTCTCTCTCCTTTCTACTGCAATGCTCACCGCGTTAATCGATCGTTTCATTTGGGATTCGAATTTGACAAGAGTGCAAGAGAAGAGCTGTCTTTTTCATGCACTTTGGTGTTTTCATCTCTAGATTTGCTTTTTACAAGCCTTTCGCGTTAGATGATTTGTTTATTAGTTCAAACCAGGAGGAGTGTTTTAATGAAGCCTGGAAAGGCTGGCCGCAGTGCTAATTTCCTCTTTGGCAGAAAATTAGGGTAAATCCCTCGTAGTGTGGTAAAATGGGCCAACAACATCCTTGCTCTCTCTCTCTCTCTCTCTCTCTCTCATTGCCCAGTCAACTCATAAATGCTACTTTAACTACCTCGTCAATAAGCACATATTCGATTTCTGATCAGGGGAAGTATTCCTCCCTCAATGAATTGTCGAACGACTTTACTTCCTTATGATTCATCCAGACCTGACCCTGTGGATGGCTTTTATGGTGTATTTATTTTGACGTGTATTACTAAACGTGCAGATTGTTAATTTATAACGTGTTTCTTAACAATGCATCTATGCTTTGTTAAGTGTGTGTGTATGTGTGTATTGATAGCACTCCTTGAAAATAGGGAATTAAGCGATTAGAGTTGTTTCAAGAGCGCACTATTTTGTTTCATTGTTGGCATCAATTTGCAAAGGGTTTTGTGCACTCTTCTCTCTTTTTTATTTAGACGGAAGTAGCTGAATCGAGGGCGAAGTTGCAGGACATGGAGATGCAACTCACCGAAGCTCATTTGGAAACACAAACGAAAGAAGTCAGAGTACAGGAGTTGGAGGTGGGTGACCTTGTTTTACTCTGCGCTTCCCCTTCATTGCCTTTCGTTCATGTCCCATCTCTTCTTGTGAATGTACCTTTTTATGACGGTGATCTTGGAGCATTTGTGATTTGAAAGTTGCCATTGGGGACGCGCTTTTAACTCCATCGGTATTGGTCGGTTGGGAATGCTAATCAGCACTGAACCCCCCCCCCCCTCCCCAACTTTGTCTTGTTAGCCATTCACTTTGGTCACTGCGCCACATGCAAGTACATTTTGCACAGTGTCATTCCTGTTGAATACATCTTCATAGAAATGGCTTCGTATAAAGTATGGAACGTGGCTAGCATAGTAAAATTGAAGTGAATTTTTTTCCCCGAAAAAAACGATGAGAGCATTTTGGGAGATGCTTTTTTTGTGACTTTTTGCTAGTGTTAATTTTAATTTTTTTCTCTCTTCGCCCTAGACTGAAGTCCTTGAATCTCAGACAAAGTTGGAGAAAGTGGATGAGCAATTGGCAGAAGCCCTTTCCACTACCCGAGCGAAGGAGATTAGAGTCCAAGAATTAGAAGTAAGTAAAATACTCTTATTTTTTTGTCTAAATCAGGTTAAGTTTCTCTCCTCATCGAGCAGTTTTCATTGAAATCGATTCACCCGGTCCCTTGGGGGGGGCGTGGGTTAGCAAGTAATTACTAAGTCTAGCCACCTTGAGGTCCTGTTGTTGGGCACAGTGGGGCGGGGGGGGGGGGGGGGG